AAGGAGAAGTTTTTTCCTACACGGAGTGAAACTCTGCAGGGTGTGTTTCCCGCGCTGCCGTTGGGGGCGGGACGTGTCGCCGCTTCTCTTCCAACGTGGAAGAAATGGTACACCGAGTGGGGAAAGGAAAGTAAAAAAAATGGTACACCCAATGGTGAGAAAAAAGTAAACAGAATGCTACACAGAGTGGTGAGAAAAAAGTAAGCAGAATGCTACACAGTGTGGTAAAAAAACGTATCAACAAACGGGAAAACAAAACGACGGGCAGATTGGCTTAGCTTGGGCTTGCTAAAAATCAGCTCGCGCGAAACCCTCGCCCCCGGTGTGCTCCCCTGTGCTGGGAAAAGTTGCTGGGAAGGGGGGGAAATTGTTCCCTCTGGAGATTTCCCCATTTTGCCACTTCGCAATTTCGCCACTTCACTACTTCGCCACTTCCCTATCTGGTTTGTTTTATTTATTTTTTTACCCCTTCTACAAAAACGCGGGGACATTAATCAAGTTGCGAAAATTGTCGAGAAAGAAATACGACGAATTAACGTCTTTCTTCTTTATGCGGGGGATGTACTCGATGGTGTTTTTGTTCAGGTTAAAATGAACTCTTTTCGTCACGTGTGACTTGGTTTTCCCTTTTTTCAAAATGGTTTTCTTGACCGTGCCATTTTTTCTTCTTTCCACGGTTTGCTCTTTCGCCTTGGTGGCTACGCCGTTGCTTAGCGCGCTTTTGTTTTTGTCTTCCCTCCCTTGGCCTATCATACGAATTTTTTTTTCCATTTTTGACTTTCTGTTTTGCCTCATCAGTTTTGCCATTTTATTTTGCTTCGCCAGCTTGGCCAACTTGCTCTGTTTCGCCAGCCTCACCATTTTGCCTTGTGTCGCCAGCCTCACCATTTTGCCTTGTTTCGCCAGCTTGATCAATTTTCCCTCTTTCACCAGCTTTGTCACTTTCCCCTGTTTGGCCAATTTTTCCATTTTTTCCCCCTTTTTCGCCTTCCCCACCTCGGTCTTTACTATTTTCTTCTTCACCATTCCTATGTATACACTCTTGTGATGCGCGTGGGCAGCGGCATTGGCATCGCCCCTGTCCGCATCTCCAGGTCGTAGATATAGGTCCCCCCCCTTGTGGTCATCCGCCAGCGGGGTGTAGCACTCGTCTCCTTGACAATTTGGACTGCCATTGCCGCGACCAGCGGAGCAGAGGCTATTTTTCTTCTTCAAGAGCTTGTTCACTTTTAGCTTCCTCTTCTGTATGCACCCTCCCCGCAGGTCCGACTTGTCAATGGAATAGATGGGCAAATCGGACTTCCCCTTATTTTCGATAATAATGCTCCCCGAAAAGCCTCCTTTGCTTTTGTGGACAAAGTCTATGATACTGGGTTTTTGTTTGGCTTCCCCGTCGCTCGAGCTCCTTACGTGTTCTCCATCGTGCGCGTTGCCACCTGCTCCGTTCTGACCACCCTCCTCACCTTTGTCCTGTTTTTTTTTTTTTTTTTTTTTCCATTTCTTTTTGGTGCTTCTTGGAGGACCTCTCCACTTGGCCCACCAAATTGCCCTCCATGCTTACCGCTTCCTGAAAATTGGATTTTTTTTTCTTTTTCTTTTTCTTCTTTTTTTTATCGTCGGGGTTACCGTTCTCTTCTCCCTTTCGCTTCAGAGTCTTCTTCTTGCCCCTCCCCGAGTCGCCATTCATGTGACATCCCATATCGCTGCTTATATCACTTCCCACGTCGCTTCCCAGGTCGTCCCCCGTCTTTTCTTCGTCCTCCTCGATGATCTCCCTCAGGCGGCTGAATTCGTTCGACGCACGGTCCCTCTTCGACCTCCTTTTGGAGTTAGGCACACCATCCAACTGTTTCTCTCCACCTGTTTCGCCATCTTCAGGGGTGATCAAATCGGAACCCCCGTTATTTGGAGAGATCTGTTCGTCCTGCCTGGACGGGGCAGAAGCGGCGTCAAATGGGGAGCCGGAGCCATTGTGCTCTCTAGTGGCCTCAAAGTTTTCCACAAAAATGGGCGTCTTCTGCGATTCACCCATTTTGCCCTTCTTGTCGTCCTGACTGTTACCGTTTTTGTTCCCCTTCTTGTTTCCCCCCCGTTCATCCCTTCCCCCAACGAGCGAATTGTAAAACCCCTTGACTGCTTTAGCAGCATAGGGATTTTTGCACTTTCTAAGGTACCTGTGTATTCTTTTCTGCAGAAGAGTCCTCCCCACATTTAACTTCAAAATGACGGAGAAAATTTTATTCCTAATTACATCGATGATGTGTTTTTTTTCCGTCTTGCAAATAATTTTAAAGAAAAAATCCATCAGTAGGAGAAAGTCCTTTATGTGCACTTTCTCCTGTTCCTTCTTGGCCTTTAAATAAAATTGGTTTCCAAAAAATTCTTTAAAAAATGTGTCGATGTGATTATAAAAAACGTCATTTGTGTCGTCAAAGATTCGCAGCATGATTTTGTTATACCTCCTTACGTAACAACTGCGCCATGAGTAGCGATGTAGAAAGAGGAGGAACTCTGCCTGGAAAACTCGGAAGAGAAATAAAAACTTGTTCATTCGGTAAAGGTCCAGAGAGTCATACTTACTAGACATAACCCTTAGAAAACTTTGTAGGAATAGGAAGACGCTTTTTTTTTCCTCGTTGTCATCCACCTCATCAATGTCTCTTAAAATTTTGCTTATTTTGCAAGCCGCTGTTTTTTGCTCCTCCGATGAGTAACATAACCAATAATAGTAAAAGAGGCCTTTGCAAATGTAGGACAAATTATGTCCATCCAGGGGCACCTTCTTCCCTTTTATATAATCCGTCAGGACGTTTATTCCCGTGTCTCTTTTTTCTTTATTCACGTGACACAGGTCAACAAATAACAGCTCAATTTCGGACTTCTCCGTTTTTTTCTTCCCTCTTGTTTTTTTTTCTTCCATTTTCTTAAGGGGAAATCACCGTAAAATCGTCTTCGTACAGTTCTTCAACGGGAGGAGTGCCTTTTCACTTCCCTGCCTACACCAAGCGCGCCACGTTCTGGGGAAGGGATAGACCCGTATAGGATATCCTACCTGTGACACGCTTCACTTTTAAGTGCAGGGGGTGACCTCCTCTCGTGAGGTGATTATTCTCATCTGCCTTCCTTCTTCTATTAGCGCAAAGTGAATGGCAAAATATTGCTTCCCCTTTCTCTGGAAAAAATTATATATGTCCCCACTTCACATCTACATTGCCCGTTGCGATCTACAGCAGCTTCGAAGGAGCGTCAATTCTGCCCTCTTCACGAGGAAAAGAAAAGGTTAACACGGCTGGGGGGCATACGACAGTAGAGGAAACATGAAAAAATATAAAAGGGATGAAATCTCCCTTGGAGATGTGCCAAACGATATGTGAAGGTCGCAAATTGTTGAGCTGAGCAGATTTTTTTGTTCCTCTTATTATAGCCTGCTTCCAAAATGGGAAAACCTACCCATACTTCGCCTTCCACCTTCGAAACAAAACGGTAGAGAATTGTAAACAACGCTGTGCTCGTTCCTTTTGGTACGGACCCTCTGTTTGGTTTGTTTTTCGCTTCTACTCGTTCTCCGTCAGTGTTTTTACGTGAAGTTTTTTTAGTTGGGCATGGAGCCGACTATTGTTAGCATTAATTAACATGCATTTTAAAATGGAAAAAATTGGAAAGGAGAAAAGCTGCAAAAGGAAAGGTTGCAAAGGATAAAGTTGCAAAGGATCAGGTTGGAAAAAAAAACGTAGGAAAAAAAAAGCGTTGGGTAAAATGCTGGCGACTTTTCTTTTCTCAAGCAGATTCTGTATTGGTTTTTAAAATTGAAAAAAAAAAAAATTAAATTCAACTTTTAAAATTTAAAATTCAGAATAATTTTCTTTTTTTTCACTTTTTAAAATAGTTTTTTTTCAACCCGTTTTTTAAATCATTTTTCGAATCATTCTTTGAATCATCTTTTAAACGGCTTTTTAAACCCTCTTTAAAAATTGTTATTTTCCCCAACAGTTGTACTGTACGCATTTTTCGACGCAGTTTTCGACACATTTTTTGACCGAGTTCTTACGCTTCAAAATACAGTTGGATTCGTCACATAACGTAATTTTTAATCGCCGTCGAAGCGGCTGCAACGCCCCTCCCAAACGCTGAGGGGAGGAAACGAAAAAAGAAAACTCTTCACCGAGGTAACTGACCCGAAGCATGATATGTCACTAATGCCAGTGGACCTCTCACTGCAAAAAAGGCAGCCGCTACTGAGCGCATCTGAGGGGACCACGTAAAATTTCCGAAATGGCTAAGAGTGTCCCCCCCAGCTGCCGGATTCTACAGTCTCCACGGTGAACTTGTTTTAAAGCAGAATTGTGTAGCCCCTGCACCAAGGGGGGAAATAAACAAATGGGCTCGTGCCCCTCAGGCAGGTTAGCATCGTGCATGGAGGGGGGTTGTTAGAAATGTACTCGTATACACCGCTTTGCCGAGTGAATGACCAAAGGAAGGAAGGAAAAAAAAAAAAAAAAAAAAGACGACAGACCCCCATAAAACCTGGTCGATGCGTCGAAAAAGGAAAAGACGAAAAAGATCGGAAATTAAAAAAAAAGAGGTAGGAATTATTGCTCCCATTGGTAGATGAGGACGCGCGTCCTGCACATCCTTCAACGCTAACACGGTGGATCTGCATCAGGAAAAATTCGGCAGATACATGATGTGGCCATGTACACAGAATAATGTGCACAAGAAAAATTGCGGTCGATCCGGTCACGGAAAGGAAAGCAAGTATCGTATCAATGCACGTCGTACGTTAAATGCGGGAAGGGTGTCTTTTATACGTACGATTTGTTTTTTTTTTTTTTTTTTTGTTTTTTGTTTTTTTTGTTTTTATTTTGGAAGGGGGAAAATTCCATATGGTTGCTTCCTCACACAGTTACCTCCCCACACGGGTTGATAAGGACATAAGGCTGGCGATAAAACCCTAATGCTACTTTTCTGGTCCATTCCGTCCTACCACTTTTTGTGCACCCAAGTTGAAGGAGCCGAATTGTATTTGCTGCCACAGGGGGGTACGCTCTCCTGGCTATGGCGAACTTTTTCTTCTTTTTTTTCCCGCACATGCTTACGCACGAGGAACCGCGGTAAATTACCCCATGTCGTTTACCACAACAGTATACGTGACATGTACACATTGTGACTGACCCCCCAGTCCCTTCTCACACACTCCAAAATGGTAAAATTGTGTTTTGCCAAAAGGTAGCCCATTTTATTCCAAACCATCTGGTATCTTCAATGGCAGAAATTTGAACAATTCGCAACTGTGCTAAAAATATAAAAAAAACAAAAGGGCTCTCTCCATTTCACGTCAAGATACTTCCAACTTACGACAAAGGAACGAATTTTCTCACTTGCAATTTTTCAGCCAGGGCGTAGCGGCATACTATATACACCACTGCATCGACAGTGCACCACTGGGGGGGTTAAAACCCTACTGAAGTGAGAGGGCATACCGCTCCGCTATTAGTCAGGAAAAAGCAACACTTCGCAGACTCCTGCCATGTGCACACAGTTAACTCCATGCACAATACCCTGCGGGGGATCAACCTTTGGTAAAATTTCTTCCTCCTCTGGGGCTCCATTCTTACGGCAACTCTTTTAACCTTTCGTTTCTGCGATTTCGCAATTTACGGGTTTTGCTAGATCGTTTCACTCGCCACTTCAGAGAGACGCTTCACAGAGACCGAGCGACGGCGTAACCCACTCCGAAGAAGCGGGAACAACTTTCCCCTATGTGGAATTATCGCCAATGTAGCTATCCCACGCTGCTCCTATTTACGCTCTGCGTTATATCCATCTCTGCAGAGAAGCAACATTCATGGCAAACGGAGTATCCCCCGTGGCAAAAGGTTAGCAGTCTCACGTTTCACATCGGAACCGCATCCAATGTGTAGGGGGATAAATGGGGGAAAAAATTAAGGTCTCCATTATTTTTTATTTCATTTTATTTAGTTTTTTTTCTTTTTCCGCTGTTCTAACACTTAAAAGGGGCGCTACGTAGACCATACTGTAACGCTGAGCGGGGTCTCTTCTTTGTGCCCCCCTCCCCGGTTGAAACGTCACGCGAAACTAAGATGGAAAGATGGGATAACCAGATCGGATCGCAATCGAGGCTGGAATAGGATGTCCCAATTTCCGTTTCTTTTCTTTTTCGCCCCAGAAGGGAGCCCCAAACGCGCGTAGACCCCCTGTGCCCATGCCGAAGAGGCGTTTTCATTTCGCGTGCAAGGAGAAAAATATACACGCCACGAAGTGATAGTAGCAAGTGGGGAGATACCCTATTTATTGCGCGAAAAGGGGCAAACAACACCCCTCCACCAAGCGCTTCCCCATGCGCATTACCCCCATGGAGGTCCGCTTAAGCCAAACCCGTTCGTAAAGCACAACAAGTAGGAGACAAAGAAAGGTCTTCATCTTCACATTAAAGCATGAGTAAAAGTATGCGTAAAAGGTTGCTAGAAGAGTGCGTAAACTCCCACATGTGCACCCCCAGATCGCCTAAAGCAACAAAATGAGCAACAAAAAGTGGGGGAGAAACCTTCTCTATGATGATTACGAGGAAGACCTAGTAGATTACGACAATTACGATGAGGAACATTACTCCGAGTTTGATTGCAAAGAAAGGATGGACATCCCGAAGACGAAGGGCAAAGATAACACCAAAGGGAAGGCACCTGGTAAGAAGCCACAGCGGAAGGATGAACCCATCAAGGGGAAGAAGCCAAAGCAGCAGGGTGAACCCCCCAAGGGGAAGAAGCCAAACCGAAAGGGCGAGGCCACTCAAATGGAGAACCAAGATCACACCCCTTCGAAGGCCCTCCAGAATGAGATCCAAGGGGACAACCAAGCGGACAGCCAAGCGGAAAGCCAAGCGGAAAGCCAAGACAGCAGGTACATCATGCTGAGCACGCTGAACATCCTGGTGTTGGGGCACATCGACGCAGGCAAGTCCACCCTCATAGGGGCACTGTTGTACAACTTAAACTACGTAACCGAGCAAACGGTGAAAAAATATGAACACGTCAGGGAAAGTTCCAAATATACCTTCATATTAGACGAGGAGGACGACGAAAGGGAGAGAAACATAACTCTTTTTAACAAAAAGAAAGAATTCTATGTATATTACACGAAGGAGGAGTTACTACAAGCCTACAATCGTGTGGTGAACACTCAGGAGGGAAACACAAAATGGGGTATCCCCCATAACAGAAGCCAAGAAGCCGCAGACGGTAACAACGTCCTGCATTGTCCTCACACGGACAGAACCATATTCACCGATTTTTACAAAAACAGAGTCGTCCACAGTGATGTGCTCTTTTTAAGGAAAGTAAACATTTTTGACACCCCGGGACATAACGAACTGGTGACAAATTTGCACACGTGGAGCTTCTTTGCAGACTCTGCCATCCTAGTTGTCGATGCAAAGAACATTTACAGCAAAAAAAATGATGAGACGTATAGAAACGTCTCTATATTAGAAGCAGTAGGAATTTCGAACGTCATTGTAGCGGTAAATAAGTTAGACCTCTTCGATTATGACCCAGAGGTGTTCCAAGATATATGTAAAACGATAGAGTCTTTTTTTCAGTCCGCCAAAAGTGACAGCATTTATAATTTTCTTCTTAGTAATAACTTCTACGTGAGGGGTGGACGCTCGCAAGAAGGCGGTTCTGCTACCACGGAAAGGCATGCACCATTTGCACCCAATGTAACGTTCATTCCACTTTCTGCGTACAAGAATTTGAATGTCGTTAAATTTGAGGCGGGAGAGGAGAAGAAGAGGCCATTGCTGAATAGCACCTTTAGCCTATACGATCAAATTAAGTACATGAATTTAAGGAAAGATTTATTTCGGCTAAAAGTGTGTGCGGAGGTTCTGAGCGATCAAAGAACGGCTCTCACATCTTACTACAATTTTGTCAGCAACAATAACCTCTTTTCGAATAACATTTTTTGCAACTTTTTCCAAGATGGGAAGGGAGACATAACAAATTCGATGAAGAAATGTCCAGACGAAGAAGACACCTTTGTGGGGGTTGTCCAAGACTTCACCGAATCAAATAATATGATCAGTGCGAATATTAAAGTATTGCATGGGTTCCTAAAAAATAAAAATAACTACGTCTTATTGCCCGTTGGGGAAAAAATTACGGTGAAGAAAATTGAGAAAGGCGCCCCTTTCTGTAAATACGTCAACGTAGATGACCTCTGTGACTACCTAGTCAATGCAAAGAATCTTCCTTTCTTAAGGAAGGTCTTAGAAGAAGAAGAGGCCCCCCAAAAAAGTGGTGCCCCTGGGGGAAATGGTAGCGATACTGATACCCTTTTTTGCAGTGCCCACGCTGGCCAAGACGCGTTCGAATCTTTTATAAGCATTTTACCCAAGATAATAGCATCGTGCCCGATCAGCAAAAATGCACATATAACGAACGACATCGTAGAAAACGTCTTCTTCAAAGTGGACGATAACAAGATAAAGAACGGATCAGTTTTGGTAAATAACGCAGCGACCAATTCGGACATAAAAAAGGCAGCAACCAATTTGGAAATAAAAAAGGCAGCAACCAATTTGGAAATAAAGAACGCACCCTGTGGGGCAAAAAACACCACCTTTGCATGTAACAAGGTCAAAGTATTAATAAAAGTGAACCAAGTTAAAATCCCACTGATCATAGGACGAGTCTATCTTCTCTATTCCCTAAACTTTTCGCATAGCGTAACCATTCAAAATATTCTCTATGTGTATAAAAATAAAAGCAGTTCCTTAAGTTATGACAAGGCAGAGGCGGATGCCAAATTACACGTCGAATGTAACGCAAATGATGTAGCACAAATTATTGATTTAAAAAATTATGTAAAAAATGTGAACGTGTTTTACGAAAAAGTGGATAATAGAAAATGCTTACGCAGTGATGATATTGGCGTCATTGAGCTCCTCCTTAATGATAACTCATTCATGTGCATGCAGCACTTCAGGCCTGAATTAAACTACTACATCTCGCAGGACAACCCCTTTTTCAGCGTCTACGACCTCCTTTCGTGCAGCATCTCGCCCCTTTCTCGCTTTATTCTCGCTGAGGAAAACAGAATTGTTGCCAGTGGTTTGCTGATAGGCGGGGCGTGAGCATGTGCATGCATACGCAAAAATATATATATACGTATCCATATATACATCTACACACGGGTGTGGGCCCCCACGCGCGAACTCAGAAGAACGCAGCTGTACCCCGTTCACAGTAGCCCCCCATTCTCTTGTCCCCTCCGCTGCCCCTCCTGCTGTCGCAAGAATGCATCTGCGTTGTTACACAGGTGTACAAATTGTAAAATTAAGTCAAATGAGAGTTAATATAGAAACAAAGAAGAGAAAAGGTGCGCCGTTGCAAAGATGCGCAGCGCACAGGAAATGTAAGCTTCCAAATCGTTCAATTAAGGGAAAGCGATAACAGCACGCAATTGTTCTCCCTTAGGTGTGTGTCACTTGGAAAGCACTGCGCAAACAGCCAAACAAGCCAATTTAAAAAAAAAAAAAAAAAAAAAAAAAAACATACAACTTTGTTTATTTTTTCAAAATTACGACATGTGCTCACAAAAAAAGGCATACATAAGAGCGCACATTTAAATTATCCCCCCTTTTTATTCCCCGTTTGAAGGGTTTACGTAGTTTATCAGTAATTTCTGTTCATCCCCCATCCATGCGAAGATTTGATGACACTCCTGATCCTCATACATACATATGCTTATATGCGCATAAGCCGAGTGGGCTTTCTCTGCACCTTTTGAAAACTTTTAAGCCGTACCTTTCTGCTGGCGCCACATTCCTTTTTCAGTTCGTACAACCTTGCTTTAATCAGCTTCGCCCATTCGGATGGCGGAAGATCAATTTGGCTGGGTTCATAGGGAAACATCGCGACTCCTTTGAGGCGGACGTCTATGTATGTATTTACGAGCCTGTCGCATGAATATATTTACGTGAGAGCAAAAAAATGCAGTGCCAAAAAATGAACACGTGTTTGAACTTGTGCACATATGTACATGCCTATCTGTACATGCGAAAGGCTCTCCTGCTTTGTGACGAATTGCCCGTCAAATGACATCAACTGTGGCATTTAAATAAGCATTTTAAAAATCACGCCGCTAGGAAAAAACAGCCAATTATTTTAAGGCAACATTTCGCGCATTTCAAATTGAGTAAAAAAAAAAAAAAAACTGCTTCCGTTCACACATGCCGAGAGACATTTTTACACACACACAAAGTACCCCTGAATTGTGCCCAACCGAAAATGATGCATTTCAAAAACATATCACCGTGTAGACGATTATGTCTGAAAAGCAAAATAACCGTTAACCTTTGCAGTAAAATGAATGTGCATTTCTTAAATTATGTTGACTCTTTAAATAAATGTCTTGCAACGAAGACCTCAAATCGCATACTTTTTTCGACATCAAAAAATGCAGATTACGTGAATTACGTAAACGAAATAAATAATTTCATCGACGTGTTTCAAAAAAATTCTGACGACTCTTCATCCAGTGGGGAAAATATCCTTTCCATATTGCAAAAAATTAAGAATGAAAAAAAATATGAACAAAATGAAGATCTCATGGAAATTATAAGTAGCATAAAACTCCTCATAGAGAAAAGGGTTCGCCCAGTGATCGTGAATGATGGAGGAGATATCAAATTCATTTGTTTCGACATAGATGATGGTACAGCAACGACGCCCGCAAGTGTGCCCATCCGCTCAAGGGGCAAGCGGACAGATGTGCATATGTATATGTGTGCACCGCGCGGATGCCCCACTACTAAAGAAGTAGACGTACGCTTTAGTACGCTTTATTCATCATTACGCATTTACATGTGCGCACCTTTACTCCTCAAAAATGTTCCATTCCCGCAGGCATAGTTTACGTACAACTGGAGGGCGCCTGCGTGACATGTTCGCAAAGTGAAATAACGTTGCAGTATATGATTAAAAATATGCTTACATACTACATATCCGAAATTAAGGAAATTAAAAATGTGTCAAAAAATGGAATTATTCTTTAATGAGCGCAAAAAAGAAAGCCACATAAGGAACAATAGGATCATTTGTCTTTCACGAAAGACTGAATTTTTCGAAAAAAGGATGGAAGTTTAAAATAGAGCGTGACTGCAAAGGGTTCCTGACGAAAAAGCGCAAGGTATATGTTTTTTTTAAATGAAGATGTAGACAGCATTACCACGTTAAGTAGTCCTTAAATGTAAAAAGGACGTTGAGTTAAAATACCGCCATGGAATGTAAAGGACATCTATGTCCCTTGGACGAAGGGCTATCACATTCGAATAAGCAGAAGCCAAATAAGTGTAACGTCATTTTTTTTGTCTGACTGGTGAAAGAATTCCATATTTATATCTTCAAAATACATGTCGAATGGAATGTGCACACCTTTTTAAACCAAATCAAAAGTCAAGATGATTTAACATCAAATGTGTTGGAAAAAAAACGCGTAATTTTATTTTTCCGCTTCTCTTTTTAAAGATTTTCGCAGAATGCGACATCTTTTATGTATCTGCCAAAAAGTGAAGTGAACTTCTTTCTAGGTAACAATGTACGCACGTAACCCTGTCTATAGCGGCATTATCATTTATTAAACACGTTTGGCATAATCGGCATAAGAATTTTTTTTTCCCTTTTCCCCCATTTCTTTCTAAATTAATTTGTTACTTGTTTTATTTTTTTTTAATTCCTACACATAACGTTTTTCTTAATGAAGCAAAAACGTAGGCTTATTTTCGTTAATGTAAAAAATTATGAACAGTTCATATTTTTTTTTTTTTTAAACCCATTCCTGCACACACCACGGGAAGTGACTAAACCAGAAATTTTAATTAAATGAGAGAACGCTAAATTTTTGAACATACGTGTGTATATTAAATCGCAGAATTAGTGTACAACAAAATGAGGCGTAAGACGTCCTTGGAGGGGGGATTTTCATACACACAGCGCTTTTTGCAGTTCCCCCATGTACTGTACATTTTCACGTCTTTTTCCATTTCTGCCATATTATTTAAAAATTGGGAAAGACCACTAACTTTTATGAAAAGTTTTCCCCTTTTTCAAAATGTTATTCGTAAAATATGGATGAAAATGCGTAAAACGCTTCGGTACACATGTAGACGACAAACCCCGCTTTAATGCAACAAAAGGGATAAAGTTCGAAACAAGAAATAGTTGATTTTTACAAAACATTATTTCCCTTTTTTTTCCCTTAAAAATGCGAAAAAAAATTACCTACAAGATGCATGTGCATGTACATTCCCCTTTTTAACCATTACACGTTTATATTTTTGGTGAAGGAAAAAAAAAAAAAAAAATCAACTTGTCCTACCAAATTCACAATCACACTACAAACGCTCTTTTGGGACTGTCTTAAGAACACACATTTTGCATTTCAAAAAAGGAATGTCAGAATAGTTCTCTCATTCCACAAAATAAGGAACAATGGTGAAAATGTGTAAAAGTACGTTTGCATAGTCTTTATTTTTTCATTTATTTCTGTTGTTATGAAAGGGGAATTTTCTTAAGCTTCTGATTATCCATTTAATACGTAACTGCAGCAAATATATGTTAGCAACTTAGATAATTTGTTTTTTTAATTGACATTATGGCTAATACAGCACTACAGAGGGTAAATATTTACACGTATTTTTATTGGCACTCCCTTCGACATTTCCAAAAGGTGCGCGGACAATTTTAATGATGAACCATCCTTTTGTTTTTAAATGCCCACAAAGGTGATTTAAAACTATAATTTTTTTTTTGTTCCACTGCGGTGTATGCTGCAAGTATAAAAAGGCGGGACACACAAGAGATATGCATTTTGTCATGTTACCCCCTGTGTATATATACATTCTTCTACCGAGGAGGCACTTGTGATACTATGCGTCTACCCGTAAATCATCTAAACTGCTCGATAATTTAATCACACATGCATTTCTACAATTTGGCTTAAAGAATAAACACCTATGTGAATTAAATTTTAACCAAAAAACGAAACGTTGAAGGGCGCACATCTTGCCCAATTGTTGTCTTTCTTTTAATTAGTACAAGTAAAACTTATGTCCAAAAGGGCTTTGACATTTCCATTTCAAGCTTATAAATGTACACTTTCATACAGAGGAAAAAGGAAAACCTATTTCCTGCACGCTTTATGCTAATTTAAGATTACTCCATCGCACCGATAGCTACAGTTGTGTGTATTTTTTCTACCAATACAATGAAGGGGAATGACAAAAGTAGAACTAGCGAAATTTTGCTAAATGAAAAAAAAAATGTAGACTCAACAACAGAATCCGCAAAAGTTGAATATGATGCAAATAACGAATCAGATTTCAGCTCAGAATTCGAATTTAATTTCAAGAAGCACATTACGGACAGTTTCGAAGTTAAAAACAAAGGACTGTTTAAACTTTCCCTAGGAAACAAAGTAAATTCTAAATCCAATTTTGCTAACCACAGTGAACACGTAGGAGACAGCGGAAGCAGGAAAAAACACCCAGGAAATAATCGCAAAAATAATGAATTGACGAAACCTAAACAGTTAGCTCAGACTAAAAGGGAAAGTCTCCTTGAAAACAAAGATGAAGTAATAACTAAGCTGAAAAAACACATAATTGTGCTAACTAACGAATTTGAAAAAAAATTAAGTAACATAGAAAATGCTCAGAAAGACAACTTTCAACTGGAACAAATTTATAAAAATAAGTATTACTTAGATATGAAAAAGGAAAAAAGTAAGGCAATAGAAATTTACGCCGAAAATGAAGAATTACTAAAGAAAATTGATTATTATAACGAATTCTTTCAAGAATTAAAAAAAAAAATTCGCTGTCTTCGGAGGAATACTCTAATTCTTGTAGAACACTTTGGGACGGCCGAAAATATAAATTTCTTTTTTAAGAATGTGAAAGATATTTCATCCCTCATGCAATCCGTAGAACAGAAATGTTTCCAAAAGAATACGCATAAAGTGAAAGAAAAAAGTGAAAAGCTAAAAGTTGATAACCTGGAAGATATAAAAAATGAAAAGAGAGAAAAAAAAAAGAAGCCCCCCATGAAAAATACGCTTAGAATAGGAACCTCG